AGTCAACAAATAAAACTGGTTAATTCTCTTGATAGATATATTAGTTTGAAAACAATAAATACAATGAGGCAAACTACGATAGAATTTTTTTAGTGATAATGATGTTATAATTAATTAATTAATAAATTTTTATTTTATGCAAAAATTTTTATTCTTTATTGGTGTCATGTGCAACCAATGAAATGCTTTGTTTCTCTAAGTGCCCAAGGGGTGCACTTAGAGGGGGGGTTGACTGTATGTATTTGTATTAGTAATGTGTATACGCACGAATAAACAAATGATTATACTAGAGAGAAGTCATGTTTTGCTTCTTACAGGTATTATGTAAAAAAGAAACAGATTAATGTTATGATTGGTCAATATGTTACGCGAAATTTACAACAAATTACTCAGTTTGGGGTTATCACAATATGCCAAAAAGCGGATTGCCAGAAGAAATATTAATAAAGTTCGAAATCTGGTAAGCGTTTATTCTTCTTCACTATATGAATGATGCTAAATACTCTAACGTTGTACCCATATGTCAAAGTACTGGGAGAAATCTTCAAAGTGGGGAATGTAGAGACGTGGGATCACTTCTTCATCGAGAAAACCCCATTTGCAACAAGACACATGTCACATAATACCTTGAGTGCCGAATTAAAAATTTGATTCAGGATCTAAAACCTGGCACAAGACCAAACGAAAGGCATTAGCAATCCAGCGTGATTTAAAGGTCAGTAATATTTTTCATGATAGTGAATATTCTACACCCTATGCTACTAGTATATGGATGAAAAGCGTTCAGTCTTATGTACGCCATGACATGCAAACTTTGCTTACAACATTATATGCTATACCCTGCGCTACTGGTGTAGGAAGAAAGTGTCTGGTTTATACATCGCTGTAGCGTGAACATTTTGCATTTTCATGAGAGATGTACCCCGCGACTACTGGTCGAGTTGAGGTCATTTTATTGATGTCACACGAAAAGGAAAACACTCCACAACTCACTTTGAAAATCCACTTTCTTACAATGAACAATCATATGACAATGAAAATGAGGAAGAACCTAAATCACGAACATTCCCAGAGTATGAGATCGTTGAGGAATTAACATTTGATTTGATTTGTGCATTGTCACGTTACTCCTACAATATAGAAGAATTCTTGAAGAAATGTGGAACCCATCACATATAAGAATCGCAACGAGCCTGACACTTATCTTCAATGCTCAAATGGTCCTGTTCTTATAGAAACCCAAAATAAACTTATTCACCGCTATGTTTATGCATAATTTAATTACAGAAGGAATTGTGGATAATGTAAGGCTTACAAAATGGTTGACAAGATTGTAATGGAGGAACACTGCATCATTGATGTAGCAACAGCGTTGACAGCAATCACTTCTGTTCTTCTCTACTCATCGACACCTTGCCGAGGTCCAAGGGTAAACCATCAGAAAATCATATAAAAGCTCAAATGTGGACAGAAATCTTTTCAGATACGTTTCTTATCGGCTCAGAAGATATTGATGTGAATTGGGAGTATCATCACCAAATCCTGGAATCCTAGGAGGGTGCATTTTTAAGAAAATGCCTGACAATCTTTTTAGGAATTACGTGAAAATATGAAAAATATTTTATATAATGCTTTTTTATTAATAAACTAAAAAATGACTTTCTAAAAAAAACCAATTTTTCTGAAAATATATCATATAAATAATAAATTATTCAATCAATTATATAATAAATATTAAGTTGGAATTCTCTCAAAAAATTTTTTTTTATCAAATATACAAAAAAAAAGATTTTTTTAATGATTAAAATTAATAATATATATATATATATAAAATAAAAGGACACTTTTGTGTGTGTATACAATATGTATGTATGTATATGATTTTAGTGTATATGTGTGTGTCAAAGAGTGCATTTAATTAATTATCTACTTACGTTATTAAAATTAATAAAATACATTTATTCTATCTATATGTGTATGAGATTGGAATTTATAGTATGTATATATTCATTCTCTCCAATCGATATAAATATATTTTACTTATAAATGTTAATCTAACCATACCTGCATAAAAAAATATTTAAAATTTTTTTTTAAAATTTAAAAGAAAATTTTTTTTTACAAAAAAAAAAAAATATTTAACGAACCTCCATCCTTCCAATCTCACTTGTTGATTTAGGAATCAGAGATACGGCCATATCTAAATCTTCTTGGTCTGTCATCCTAACCTTTTCACCATCTTCATCTTTATAATGTAAATTGAATGAAGAATCAGAGGCAAATTTTTCTTGTATTCGTTTCAATAACTCGGAATAACTTATATCGGCTGCTACCATAACTACTCTGGTATCAGTATGGTAACATTTAATTTTAATCTATTAATAAAAAAATATGCGTGCGTGTAGATTAATAAAAAATCAATGAATGTATATATGTAAATTTAATAAAAAAAAAACAATAAAAACCTTTGTAGGCTTTATCAAAGGTTCATTAGTAATAGGTTTTGAAGATTTTTGTGGTGGTGGAAGCATTTCAAATTGTGTATCGTCATCATCACCATAAGCAAAATTATCATCATCTTCATTAAAGATAAAATTGGAATAATGTTCTTCATTATTATCAGATGGGGGAGACAACATTCCAGTCGGTGCGGATAAAGGTGAGGGTTTGAAACCAGGCATAGAAATTGAATTATTACCACGACCACGTAAACTGGGGGAACGGGCAGGCGAAGTAACCGGACTTCTATTGCCATTATTACTATTTATCTTGGGAGAATTAAATCCATCACCGTCATTATAATATTGGTCATAATCATATTTTTGATCCGAATTATACTGATCAGAATCTTGATAATAGTCAGGATAACTTCCACTGCTATCATCAGAAACATTCATCTTTGACATTTGTTGTCGTAGGAATTCTGCTCGTACTTGTGTATTTTGTCTCTGTGGACCGGGCCTGCCCGTCCCTCTTCCTCTCGTAGAATTCATTCTAGGTACACCTCTAATAGAATTAGATCTGGATTGTGGTGGTGGATCACCTCTGTATGAATTAGATCTTGTTGGACCTTCTCTAATAGGTGGTGGATGACGGTTTGGATCACGTACAGAATTTAATCGTGAAGGAGGGGCAAATTTAGGTGATGGACGGCCATTATCTATGGTATTTGAACGTTGAGGCGGTTGTGGTTGTAATCTTAATTGAGGAGGTCTGCGTACTGAAATACTTCTTGGTGGTGGCTGCGAATCGTTGTTGTTATCATTTTTCCCTGTGTCATTTTGATAAGGAGATGGCGATTTACTTCTTGGAATGGAATCGGAGTAAGGTGAAGATAGTTGTTGACCATTCAAAGATAAGTTTTCTTCATTAGAGTAAGTTAAATCTGGAGAACCAGGAGTGGTGGGAAGTCTTTTTGAGAAACTTTGATTACGAGTAATAGGAAATGGAGGAGCTCTAGGATTGGATGATAAAGATCTGGGTCTATTAAATTTTTCTGAGACAGAATCAGGACGTAAAGATGAACCATTCATTTCATCTACTTTGCCACCAGTTTTGGATTTACTAATTGGTGATGTTGTATTTAATTGTGCTTTCTATTATTATCATTATTATCATTATAATATAATATAAATAAAAGTGAGATATTTTCTTTAAATATAGATACACACACATTGCATGCATGCATGCATACATGCATATGTACACACATATATATGCATGTTCACTCGTTTAAATATAATTGAACGATTAATTAATTTTTAGCAAGTTAAATTCAACAAACCTTTTGTTGTTGAGCACCTGTAAAACCAGTAAATGCATCTTCAGGATCAATAGCGGCCACCAATTTTGCCTTGCCTAAATAATCTTTTGTTTTAACATTTTTAAGTTTGCCTTCAGGTGGTCGATAAATTACTCCCACAGGAATAGAAAATACAGTGAAATCCTGATAAATAAATTAACGAGTAAATAGGTTAATATGTTAATATTGTATATATTAATCAACACAGTCAATAAATAATGCTAATATTACATACTTGACCCTGAACATCGATTGCTTCATCTATAACATCATGTTCTTCTGTTTGTTTTTCTTTTGATGCAGCTCTGAAATCATCTAATCCTTTATCAGTTTCACCAAGATATAAGTAGCATAATCCTCTATTAAATAAGACCTCACATGAATATAAACGAAACTTTAGGCCTAATTGCTCATAATCGATAAGCATATTACCACGAAGGTACTAAGTTTTTTTTTTCGAAATTTAAATTTTAGTCAATGAATGTTTTAAACAAGTAATAAATAAATATTTATATCTATCTACTATTATTTACCATTAACGCATCATTAAAAGTATTCAAAGCCTTTTGAAATTCACTCAGTAGAAAGTGTGACACGCCTTTCTGGAAGTAAGCAACAGCAAAATACTCATCCAATTTTACCGACTTTTTATATGAAGTACACTATTATCATCATGATTTAATTTGTAAAAGATCAAATTAATAAATCATTTAATTCTCCCTCAATAAAAAGTTGTTAATTAAATAGCAACTTACAGCTTCCTCATGTTCACCAAGAGTAGCAAAAATTAAACCAATATTAAAGTGAAATTTTGCTGAATCTGCTATGGTCTATATAAAAAAATACAATTAATTAATTAAAATGTTTAAATTTGACAATGTAGTAAGGTAAGTCTAACAAAAATTACTTCAAAAGTCTCCAATGATTTTTCAAAATTCTGTTCATCGTAATATTTAACGGCAGAACCCCATTGTTCTAATTCGTACTGAAAGAATGTAAGTGTAAGCGTTTAAAAGGTAAGTAATCAATTTTTGATCATAAAACATAAAAAACAATATACGTGGTGGAAGTTGCATCAACCTTCAAGGCCATGTGTGCGTGTAACTGTGTTGGATGTTATTGTTATTTGTTTTTATGGTGAGATTGTAGATTTATCTCTTTTCATATGCTAGGAAAAAATTTTTTATGTTTTAAGGAATGTTTTTTTTTTTAATTAAAAAAAATTTGCTAAGCAAAAAAATTATTTATTTTTTATAAAGGTTTTTTTTTTTGGTCTCTTTTTAAAAAAAAAAATTTTAAATTATGTAGTACTTTGCTTCAAAATAATAATATTGGGTTACACGTTAACCTTTTCTTCAATTAGTACAGAATTTTAACTAACAAAATTAAATAATCGATTGTTTATATTTTTAAGTACCAAATTGAAATAACAAGAATATTTTGTAACATTTAAAAAATAAATATTATTAAAGTAGTCTTTTCCTTTATAAATATCTCCCGATTTTTGTAAATATTAATATTAAATTATGGAATTAGAAAATTGGTCCGTTTCAAATTTATTAATTTTTCACTAATTTAGAAATTAAAACGAATATTGTCACAGTTTATACGATTCATTGATTCATTAAATACTAACTACTAATTCAAAACATAAAGGATAAAAATCGTATGATAATACATGTTACATGATTTTTTATGACTAAATCGGCTGGACGATTGGTTGGCTATCAGTTTTCGATGTTATGTGTGATGGTAACCAATGGGAAGCTTTGATTACTTTCTGAAAAGTTGATATATCATTAAAAAATTTTTTATAGAAAACAACGCGTCGCGTTAATATATGTAGGAACAAAACAAATAAAGAATGAAGTTAGTCATGTTATTATTGGTTATTTTTATGAAAAAAAAACCCCCGTTTTATACGAGAAATGTTAATTTCCTTTGTGAAGGAAGGAGGGCTCAAAAAAATTCGTCGATCTCCGGATTATTTATAAAATCGAGGAATTTGTTTTATTAACAAAATTGTATACGTGCTAAAATTAACTCAATCTAAATCGCCCTACACCTCGTACTCATTCAATCAATTCTACAGTACACATTTTTTACTATATATTACAATTATTATTTTCTTCCATTCTCGCTCTTTATATTGTTGAAAAGAAACGTATGACAAATAAATTGAAAAAGGAAATTAAATAATAAAATATTTATTCTTTGTGTCCACTTTTATGTATAATACAAACAATAAAATAATTATCATTCAAATTCAACCACTATGTGACCTAAATCTCTTAATAATAAATCTTTACAACTAATAGCATTTCTATTTTTAACTAATAGATTATTTAATTTACAATAACTTGTAATTATATTTAAATGATGATAAATGTTTCCATAAGATAAATACTCAAATTTAGATAATTTGATCTTTAACCTACTATCATTATAATCATTGAATAAGAAAGAATCAATTGCATTTATAGTAAAGACACAATCAATTTTAATTACTAGGGTGTCAAGGGTAGTTGGTAGTTGTTTTTTTAAATCTATTAATATATTGTCATAATAACCATTATTAATTAAAAATAGATTATTGACTACAAATAAATTATTATTTTTGGTGTTTTTATTATTATAAAGTATTAAAGATTTTAATTTTCTACATTCTTTTAATAGCTTTATAATTTCAACCAGATTATTGATGTATACTTTGATCTTTAGGTTTAATAGATTTGGACAATTTGCTGCAATCAGTTCAATTAAATTGTTCAGACAATAATTATTATAATTATTGTTGTTGTTATTAGTGTTGGTGTTGCTATTAGCACTGCTATTATATTCTAAATCTATATTAAGATTTATAATATTAATGTTGGAATGAATTATAAATAATTTTATTAAACTATATGTTAATTTAGAATTGATTATCTCCATATTTTTAATATTATTACTACTATTAATGCTGTTAACACTATTATTAGTGTTACCACTACTATTAGTAATAAGACTATAAATATTGTTGTTACTACTATAAAGCTCAATCTCACCACATTCAATAAATTTCAATGTCTCAAGATTTTCAAATTTGTTTCTACCATTACTACTATTGTCATTATAAAAAAATTTGAATATATCAAGGCACTTGCTAAAATTACAATACCTAAATTCTAGATAATTCAAGTTTTTGTTGTTGCTGTTATTACATGATAACAATACGGTGATAATGTTGTTCAGTTGTATTGAATCTTCAACATACCATAAAATCAATTTCTTTAAATTTCTTTGACTTTTAATCAAACCTGCTATTTCATTATTGTTATTATAATTATTGTCAGTGTTAGTGTTATTAATAAAACTATGATAGTTATTAATTCTAGCACTGCTGTTACTATCATTATAATTACGATTATTATATATAATTAAATTTTCAATATTTCTACAATATTTTGATAATACTTTATAAATCGTTGAATTTTTGCCTGATTTTCCATAACAAATAAATGTGTTTAAATAATCCAAATTATTATAATAATAATAATTACTAGTGCTGATACTACTATTGTTATTATTGCTATAGTTATAGTTATAGTCATCATGCAAGGAAAAGTTTAAATTATTTAAATTTAAATGTTCTGAATCCATCAATAAATAATTTATTTTTGGTGATCTACTAATAAAATATTTTAATAATTCTCTGATAATAAATAATTTCCTATTTTCTTTAAAATTATTACCGCCATCATCTTCATTATTGCTATTCTTTTTATTACAATTGCTGCTACTAATATTTGTAATATTATTAGTATTGTGATAATTGATTAAATTCTTTGTTTCAATGGTTTGATATTCATACCAACAACCAACAGACTGATAAATTTCGTAATAATCTAATTCGCGTAAATATATTACATAATTGACAAAAGGTTTCTTTTTATAATATTTCAAAGATTTTTTAAATATCACTGAACTTCCAATCTTGCTATTACTACTACTATTACTGTTGTTGTTATTATTATTATTATTATTATTATTATTATTATTATTATTATTATTACCATTACAATTACTATTACAATTACTATTATCACCAAAATCTTTGTAATAATCTTCATCATTTTCCAAACATCTTAAATAAGTTTCAATTATTCTACGTTTTTTCTTTGATTTGAAATTTGATAAGGTAAAAGTACGTCGCCATAGAATAGGAATAGCACTGGCAAACCAATTACGATTAACCAATAATAACGAATGAAGTAGACTATAATCTTCCTCAAGATATAAAAATATATTTTCAAGACAATCTTTTGGTAAACGCGATGCCAATGCCATCTTTTTTTTTTGAGATTTTTTTTGTTTTGAAATGATTATCCATCCATTATAAAATGTCAAGTATGTGTGACATTTGTGAGTCCTTAATAAACATTTGTTACTGCGCATTCCTGTTAATCGAATATTTTGGCAATCGGTTAAATCAAAATTTTGGCAACCAAATAATCGTAAAAGTATTGGTAAATACCCGATTATCCATATTATCCGCCGTATATGCATAAAAAATGGTTTTTTGTTTTATCATTCAAAAGGGAGTATCGTATTTACATTAAAAATAAGAGGTTGGCACTGTTAACAGTTTAACCGCGATCAACCAATTAATTCAACCATCAATATAGAACTCATATAAATAAATACAAACACCAAGGCCTTTTTCTTTTGGGTGAGGCTTATGACTAGAGTTTCTGTTCGTAATACAGATTCTTATTCGAATTATTTGTATGCTTTTGATCACAAGAAGCCTGCTTCCAAGACATCTCATAAATTGCGACCACAAGAAATTTATTCTATGCAAACAAGTCTTCAAAATTCATAATACAACTCAATATTAATATTAATTCGAATTTATTCGTTACTTATTCGTTATCTATTATTCATTTTATTTGAAATTATTGATTAAGTTAACCGTTTAAAGAATTTTTGCGTGGTGCCAACCACTACTAATAAATAAGATTTTCACAAGATTTGTATCATATAATCGATCGTCATTGAATTTTTCTACATTCGACTAATTGATTAATCAGACCCACTGCTAATTCCCCGTAAAAATAAAAAACATTTTTATAATTGCATGAATGGAGAAATTTACACACATAAATATCTTCATAAACATAATTAAAATATGGGGCAAAATTTGATTGGCCAATTAATTTTCACATGTGGTGGGTGGATTCCAAATTCAATATATATCACTATTAGTTGTGTCACGTGATTTATCTAAATTAGACTTTCACACAATATCTTTATTTATTATGGTATGGCAAGCCATGTCGTCTATAAATGTCAAAATTTTCATGTGACTTCAAATTGTATCTAGTCCTTAATTTTTTTTTATTACATAATTTTTTTCAGAAGTTGACAGAACAGTGGAATTTTTGTTTTATCACATTTGTCACTTTGTGACGATCTCAAAATTATACTGTGCAACGAATAAATTCATATGCAAAGTCACGTTTTCAATAAACAAAATTTTTTTTCGTGATATAATTTTTAAATAAACTTTGTAACTAATTATTAAATCAAGCATGGTTAATTACGATCTAATCAAGATAACGTCAATATCCAAAAAGATTTACTAGAAGTGCCTTTTCAAGGGACATCTTTTTATTTTATTATTATTATTATTGCTTCTTTAAAAAAAACTATATCATTAAATACGTCATTAAGAGAGTAGGAGGGTTGATTACAATCTAATCAAGATAACTTCAATACCAATGAGGCTTTATTAGTAAGGTATTTCCTCTAAATATGCATTACTTCAACAATAATACATTAATTATTTTCTCTGTTTTTATTAATTAAATATTTATTACAGAATTCTACCGATTTTAATTTTTTTTTAACGTAAGAAATCAACGAAATCAACCTGGTGCTCTATTTCAGAGTATTTTTGATTTTTTTAAAAAATGATTTAATCAGTAACTTAAATAAGCATTTGACTAAACTGACTAAACTATTTAGTCATGACAATTATTCAATGTCTTTTTTGGTAATTTTATCTATGAAAAGGGATTTGCAGTTTCACAAAGTTTTATTGCATTGTGATATATTATATACTCACTATGATCATGACGGGAGAAGTTAACGTGGCATGTCATGTTGTCCTATAGAAAATTTGCATATAGAAATTCCGTATGAATTATAATTTTTTGCTATTATGATAAAGTATTAGTATACTAATACTAATACGGAAATTCGCAATTTTTAGTATCATAAAAAAACGTATAAGTATCAGTCACAGGACATGTCACGCAGATTAATAGTAATAACGGGAGTGACTTGTATATTGAAGTTTTGTTTATCGTTCTCTATAGAACCAATATACCATTATAAACAGGAAAAATTGTTGTACACGGCTAAAAAATCAAAAGAAGTAAGTTCAAATAGATGAAATAATTGATGGTCTTCATGAGTTGGGGGCCATTTAAGCAAGCATGGGAGTTTCCGATAATATATATTTTCTTGAATCCTTCAAAATTCCAACATTGCATGATACAACATAGTAAAGACTCCCTAATACTGCGCTGCATGATATGTTACCAGATTTGATTAAGCCTGTCGATTATGATGAAACAAAAGCGAATGGGCTGGTATATTACACTTTTGTTTAAGAACCGAGTGGATAGTGGTTTCAAAGCATGTCATTTTTAACTGGAACTTTACAAATAAAGTGAATTTTGTAGATACCAAAAGTTTGAGCCACTGGATCCTTTAATCCATGTTTTGCCGATCATGCGAAGAAAAAACTCAACAACCCTTTTGGATTTCAAGAACTTTGCATATAAGATTGCACGAGAAAATTTGATCCTCGGAATTTTTAAAGAAAAATTTTTTTACTTTCCCCTGTCTACTACAACCAACAATCACAGTCAGGGTTGATCAGGACGACTTTTACCACAAAGTTCAGTTTCGAGGACTCAGATATATATATGAAAGATTTCTAGCTGGACTGTTAGGTCAACATCAAACAATGGCATCCTTTTCCTCCAAATCCGAACATCTGGCAGGACCCCACAATTCGGTCACAAGATAGCCGATACATAAAAGTAAAACTGTCGTTTTAGTGTTATGATCATTATTATAATAGATTTGAGTATTATATGTTCCCCTTCCGTCTTCTTCTCATCTGTGATCTCGTGTTGAAACTTTATTTGTTCTTAGATATCATATAATGCATAATTTGTATTATTATTTGTAAATGATCCGTTAGATAGTTTTTTTGATCACCATAATTTTTTTAAAAAATATTTTATTATTGCTCGTCATGTACAATAATACCAACAATAATAGTAATAACAATGCACAACGTGCAGTCTTTGATGGTAAAAGAATGAGAAAAGCCATTCAAAGAAGAACAGTGGATTATAATTGCTCTATTGGGAAATACTTGCAGGTATTTATTTAATAGTAACAAATAATTGTAGATTGCAATAAACATGACAGACATTCATTTTAAAAAACCTTTTTATTACAGGATCGAGTTTGGATACGATGCCCAGAAGAGATCGAATTCTTACGTCCTAAACCAAATTTTACCATAAATGTATTTATTAGCAATAGTATTTTCTTATCATTATTAATAAAAAATCTAATAAATTTATCTCCTGCACATGTATATATTTATGTGATTAGCTTCTACCACCATTGGCCTATCCTAATAATCCAGTTAATGCAATAGCAACAAAATATGTACATACTTCGACCAATAAAAATAGATATCCAGTTAATGTTGTCCGAGTATGTAAGAGCTAGCTGGTTTATAAAATTGATTTTGCAACAATTTTTTTGTGATTTAATATTATTTGTTTTATAATAGTGGACTCCTGAGGGAAGACGTTTAATTACAGGATTATCAAGTGGTGAATTTACGCTTTGGAATGGATTGACTTTTAATTTTGAAACTATTTTACAGGTATGAAATTATTTCTTTTTTTAATATGTATTTTATTATTTTGTTATTATTACCATTCCTTTGATTCTTGGGATCTTTGGAGCAATTTGTCGATTATGAGGGGTAAACACATATATATCAACATAGAATTAGATAAAGGTTTAAATTTTTAATATGGGGGAAACGCCAAATAAATAAGAGATCAAATAATAAAGATTTTTTTTTTGGTTATCTGAATTTTTATTACGAATTAGTTTCATTCTCTTTGGTTACGTTTACATAATAATTATATAATTTAAGGAAATTAAGAGGGCGAAAGATCATAATTATATTCTGTTTTTTTTTTATCCTAAAAAAACATCATTCTTCAAAATAAATAAATAATTTCTATTTGAGAAAGTCAAATTTTCATTTTTCAAATTTCTTATTATATATGTTTTGATCTAATATTGAGAAAAAAAAAAGGAAATAAATAAAGATTGACCAAAAACATTTTTTGCTTTATTTTTTCTTTTTTTTTTTTAATCACTGTGTGGTCTTTATTTTTTTGGATGGATTCCTCAATAATTAAATGTTAATAATGATAAAAATGATAATTAAAGGCTCATGAATCAGCAGTTCGAGCCATGAAGTGGTCTCATAACGATAATTGGATGGTAACAGCAGATCATAAAGGTGTCATAAAATATTGGCAGTCTAACATGAATAATTTGAAGATGATTGAAGGTCACAAAGAGGCTATAAGGGATTTATCGTATGTAAATTATTAATTACTATTACTATTAGTGATATTATTAGTGATATTATGACTTTGTTCATAAACTATCTTTTTATATATATAAAAATGTAACCAATCTAGATTTTCACCATCCGATACAAAGTTTGCTACATGTTCAGATGATGGTACAATCAAAATATGGGATTTCAATGAAGGGATTGAAGAAAAGGCATTATCAGGTTAAATTTTTATTTTGTTGTCATTTGTGATCTTTAATGAAGAAATTTAATAATGGTCATTTTTATTATTTGTGGAAATAAAGGACATGGATGGGATGTAAAAACAGTTGATTGGCATCCTTATAAATCACTTTTAGCATCTGGTTCTAAAGATAATTTGATTAAATTTTGGGATCCAAAATCAGGGAAAAATATTGACACTTTGTATATATATGATTTATTTATTTTTCTAGAAAATTAGTGTTTACTTGTTCAGATAATTATAATTATTAACATAATATAATTTTGCATCAAAAATAGGCATGGTCATAAAAATATGATTCTTGGTTTACAATGGAATAAGAATGGTAATTGGTTGGGAACTGCAGCAAAAGATCAATTAGTCAAAGTTTATGACATTAGGATGATGAAAGATTTACAAACCTTTCGTGGG